CGTCACTAGAACTAATTATATTACTATAATTGTGTGTATATCAGGTGATGGACGAGTACTTCCAATATTTTTATTATTGACTCTTCTCTTCCCCGTAGAGCTTACAAAGATGGTGTCCTTGGAACTTGGTAGTATGACATACATCGAAGTGAGTACATGGACACAGATTTACTTAAACTTTGGTTTGAAAAGATATTCATTACTAATTGTAGCAGATCCAGTCCAGTCCTTTTAATAACTGACAATCATGACAGCTATATCAGCCCGGATATTATTGAACTTGGAAGAGTCAATATAATTGAGCTCCTTGGATACCACCCTATACTACAGATATTTTGGAGTCGTTACTACGTTCCATTTTTGGACATTGTTGGTTTGGTCATACTTTTAAACATTGCATTGAATGTTGACTATATCAATAAATCGGATATTAAAAATGACTATGCAATTTACCGTAGTTTTATTATATGCCTTAGACATTCACCAGCACTCGCGAAATATACATTCAGAAAGATTGGCATCATTCACGTCAATCCAGATGTTTGTCAAATATTGACTGATGAAGATCAACCTTTTGATAGAATCAGCAGAAGATTCGCGACATACAAACATAAGCGCGTAAACTGTGTAGGAGAAATCTAAAAATATATTCCTATGGAGCTTGAAAGGCTAATACCACAACAATTAGCAGATATTTTCTGTTCTGTTCTAGAGAAGCCACTAACTGCAATCTAGAGTTATAAGAAGTGATAAAATGTTGAATGAAATTAGGACAAACGTGTAACTTGAGAGGAAGAAGTGGAGAGGATACAAAAACAAGGAGAAAAACAGAAGCAGAGGAGGTGATAAAATAAAAAAGAAAGCGCGATTGAGTGGAAGAAAGGAGGAAACACCCAACATATATAGGTTACCGGCATTATGCCTGTGTGGTATTTGTGGTCGTGCAGAACCACACTGAAAAGATCGTAAACTGGATTTCATGTGATGTTAGTTAAGATTTGTTCCAACAGCATGTATCTCACGTCAAGCCAGAGAAAGCTGATGATGATGGTTTTACATTTCTTTGTTTTTCTTACCAGGAAAACTTCTTACGCTTTCAACTTGTTAAATTTGTGAATTGTGTTGTTTTTTATGTGACCTGAAAACATAAGTAATATAGTCTTAATTGTTATTTTAATACATAGGATTTTTGAATATTTAACTACAATTTTAGAACTACATATTTACTGAAATATACGAAGCAGTTTTCTTATATTAGATCCTATCTGTGACAGGTATTTGTTCCTCATTACCATTCCCATTCCCTGTTATATTCAGTTATTCAATTACTTGTTTTCTTTGAAGTTTTGTAACTAAAGTGTCATATATGATCGTCTGGATTATAAATCTATGCTTCACCAACCTGTCTCTCCTTCACTTGTGATGCTAATTTAGTACAGCTGCGTTGCTTGAGTAAAAATATTGCTGTCCACCACTTACTGAGTGAAAAAAAGATCCAAACAAGCATATGTTAGTTACAGATACGTTAAAAAAATTAATATCGGTAACATAATCTTTTTGTGTGAATTGAATTGATAGTAATTCTAAGTAATCACGTTTTACGAATCCAACCAAAAGCAAAGTGACAATCGAACATACAATGAATTCGTTGAAGGAGGTCGGTTTGTTTTGACGGAACCGAATCATCAGAAATAATTTCGTTAAGGGACATATTTTCCTATTATAATTTGTCATTTCAATAGTCTGTGTAATTTTAAAGTAAACTCAGAAGACTCCGGAAAAATTGCACCAACTGGTTGCCGGCTCGTAAGAAGAGTAAGAGGGTTCAATTTTCATTAATTTGACAAGCTAAGGTGCAAAACTTAGCGAAGGATAGAAACGTGAAAATAAATATAAAATTGAAAATGTCATCTTTTTGTTAACTTATTTAATCCAGTACTTTTGTTCCAGAGCTCGTTACAACTACCCAATGAAACGATAAAGGATTGATATTTATATTTTTAAAAAAGCATAGAATATGCTTTTCAGTGGAATCCTTATTTTCATATGTTGGATGAATATTTCTTCAGCAAATTGTTTCTCATATTTAATCTACAGATGCGAGTATCCATATCATTTTGGTTAGTTGATTAATGTCTTCACTTACATCAAGCAAGGCAGACATTAATGCAAAAATATTGAAAGATAATATAGTTTGCAAGATACTTAAAATATTTAAAACTACAGTATGCTGACTTCATGGCATTTAACTTCTTTATTGCTGTCGATGCAAAGGTATTTTACATCTGCTGAGCTTATGTTAGAATCAAAAGTGTTTGTCTAGTTTTCATGGGTATTGCGCGGTGAAATCAAGAGGGAGAGTGAGCATCGAAACTACTGAGATTTCCACAAGAACGTGATTTTAAATTATTTACTGAGAGTAGAAAAGCAAATGCGCAGTAACGTGAATGCCTCTCACGCCAAGTCATCCCAGGAGCATATATAGGAGTTATACTAGTCAAGAAGTTCAATGGATCTTTAACATATGCTGAAAATGTGTGCGGTAAGAACAGAAGCGATACAATAAGTTTGAGCTACAGGCTCTCACAACTTAATAAAACCCAGATTCCATAGAAAACTTTGCTAATTATATATTGATAGCGGAAAAACGAATATTTGAATAAGATCTTATAAGTAAGCTTGCGGGGGTGGGGAAATGATATCTTAATATTCTCAGATTATCTGAGAATCATTAAATAATTTAGTCAATGCAAGAAATCATTGGTATTAACGAAAATGATGAGAAATGTAACAAATATACCTAAAAGTCATTCCATATATACATAAAATATTTTGAATAAGGTAAAATGATATATTATGTTTTGTTTGATCATTGCTTGAATGATTGCAAATCTTTTTGTAACTATTGTCTTTGTGAAAGTAGGGAAACGCTCATAGGCTGACAAGTCCATCGACTTTTTCAACACAATCCGGACGCTTTTACACATCAGCATGTCCTCTGGTTTCCCTAGACAACACTTAATTATATACTACCACTACTAATGATAGAAAGAGATTGATGTAACAGATTCCTTCACATGAAAAAGTCCAATTTCACTACACTTTTCTTGATATTTTTTTTTATGTTTTCAAAATGATGAAACATTTTGTGAAAACATGTTATTTCGGCTTATGCACATTTAACAGCACGCCATTTATAATTCAAGTCCCGTTATTAATCTGAAAGAAACAAAATCTGTGGATAATCCTGGTGGAGTTTGAATAAAACTTAGTAGCCTAATACCGTACTTGCCACGAGTGGAACTAACACACACGAAAGGAACCGAGCGTGTCCATAGGCGCACAAATGTTTTTTTTTATGTACTACGAGTAGATAGCATGGATCAATATGAACGTTATATATATATATATATATATATATATATATATATATATATATATATATATATATATATATATATATATATATATATATATATATATATATATAGTTCCTATGCTATCAGTATTCGATGTTTTAGGTATTTTTATGCTTAGTGGCACACAATGTGTAATTAAATAATTAAATACATTACTTGACCATACGTAACTAGTTCTGCATCACCATTTCGTTTCGAAAATATTTTAGGATTGCTGAAGAGTACAGTTATAAGTGAGGTATCGTCTTACATCTATCTATGACTTGTAACAATTTGTCACTTAATTATTTCTTTTCTAGAATAAAAATATGACTTGTTTCCATTCCATCATACCATCTTGTGTCTACACTATTTTCATAACATACTGATCTTCATCGACCGAAAGTATCACTGATAAGTTTAACTAAAATGTAATCGAAAACTTCACATCAACATCCTAACCAAATAGTTATTCAGTGCAAAACAGATTAAAGCATTACCATTTTATGGACAAACCTATGAAAAATCGATCTTCTTTTCTGAAAAACAAGGAATGATGACGTCAATAAATAAAAGAACTAACATTAAAATATAGCTCTAATCACAGTGGAACAATATACACGTAATCAATATTACAATGTGCAAGACATGAGGGAGTTCTTTGATACAGTTAGCATTTCTTATGTTGTAGACTTCCTTAAGGAAGTAAATATTTATCATAAGTTATAGCTTATATGCTATCACCTTGAACATTTTTATGTGCTATATATGTACGTTCGCTAGATTTTAATTACCATTCAACTGCCTACGTTGTCATACATTATTTACACTCCCCGTTGATCGGGAAACTTCATTTATTGATCGTCGTCACCATTTTCATCGTTTTACCTTTAACTATTTGGTTATGTATTGCTGGGCGATACAAAACCTTTTACCATTTGTAAATAATGAAGGATTTAACCTTTTATATTGCGCTAAATAGCCAATTTGTGCTGGTGCTGGTGCGCCGTAAAAAAAAAAAATCATCCAAGCAACCACAGTGGAACATACTTCATTATTCATGTCAATATTGGTTTTTATTCCAGGATTATCATTCAGATAACAACAAATGTTTAAAATAAAAATACATATTATGAAACACTAAAGCATGCCAATATTGAATGAAATCAAAGAAAAAATGAAATCGATCTTAAGCATTGACTTTTACTGTTCAATAAAGACTGTCCTGACTATTCATGCACATCAAATAATTCAGGGGTAAAACCAATATTAATGACAAGGGTAGACATTACATCTCAACGGTCAATCAATTAATATAGAGGTAAATACATAAACCTACATCAATACACCATAGCAAAATTGTGGTGTAAGTAATGACAGGATATTATTAAATACGTTTATTTTAAAGTCTAAAGACTATTTAAAACTAAGGCCAAAATTTTCAAATACTGCAATAAATCTCGACTATGTCAATAAATCTCAAATTAATAATAAATTAAAATATTACCGTATTTTTTGAAGTACCATAGACATTCACCAGCACACGTGAATAATACATTCAGATTGACTGGCAATATCACTTCAATCCTGACTGACCGCTCCGGTGGCCAAGTGGTTAGAGCGTCCGCCTAGGATGCGGGAGGTCGTGGGTTCAAGTCATACTAAAGACTTATAAAAATGGTACTAACATATACCTCGCTTGGCACTCAGCATTAAGAGGTTAGTGTTAGGACTGGCTGGCTTGGTGTCAGGAAAATGTGACTGGGTGGGACATCATGCTACATGTCTGAGCATGATGCCCCAGTACTAGACATCACTATAAACTGCCACACTGCAGACATCGTAGCGATAGGACCGAAAAATTGTTAAAGCTATGTTAAAAATTATAATCACATGACATCAATCCTGATGTAATTGTCAAATCTCGACTAGTGAAGAGCCATCTTCTAGAACCATTTTCTAGAGCCATCTTTTGACAGCTTCGCAGAGGCATGATGCTATCACAGTATGTATCTGCTGCCATAATAAGCATGTAAACTGTACATCCTGTGCGAGCTATCTTAGAATAAATCCAATGGTACTTGAAGGGCTAGTACCATACAATTGGCATACATTTTCCGTTCTGGTCTAGAGAAACCACTAAGTGCAATAGGAAAATAATTACCTAATCTAGTTCTAATATGTGACAGAATGTTGAATAAAATTAAGACAAACGTGGAATTTGAGAAGCGAGAGACGTGGAAATGAGAAACGAAGGAAGGAGTAAAAGAGAAGTAGAGGAGGACATAAAAAACAACGATTGACTTGAAGAAAGGAAGAAACATGTAATCTGAAAAACTGGAAAGGCGGTTAACAGCAAAGTGAAAGAAAAGCAACATACGTAGGGTACCGGTGTGATATTTGTGGTTGTGCAGAGCCACACTCAAAGGATCCAGTTATGAGTGAGGATTTGGAACACAAATGTAAACTGGATTTCATGTGGTGTTTATGAAGACTGGTTCCAATAACATTGCCCAGAAATCTTTCCAGAAAAAGCTGCTGATGATGGTTTTACATTTCTTTGCTTCTCCTGCCTGGAATGACTCTTACGATTTGGTTTTGTTACATTTGTGAATTCCGTTGCCCTTTGCAGAAATAAGAAAATAATAATTGCTCTTTTAATACAGAATATTTTCAAATGATTGACTATAATTTATGAATTAAAAATTTATTGAAATATGCGAAGCAGTTTTCCGTTGATTACATACAATCAGTTGCGAGTGTTTGTTCTTCATTATCTTTTCCATTCTACTTTAAATCTAATTTTTCAATTACTTGTTTTCTTTGAATTTGTGTAATTAAAGTGTAATTTATGACCGTACGAATTATAATCTATGCTTCATCGACTTGTCTCTCCGTCACCAATGATACTAACTTAGTACAACATCGTTAATTGAATAAAAACATTGCCGAATACACTTTGAGTGAAGAAAAGAGCTAAACAAGCACATTTTAGTCACATAAACTTAAAAAAGCAATATCGATACAGGAGAATGTTTTCGTGTGAACCAAATTCATAGTAATTTTAATTAATCGCGTTAATCTAATCCAAATAAAAAGTGAAAAATTTCGAATTTGGCAACAAATGTCAGTGACGATAGAACATGCAGTGACATCTTTGAAGTAGGCAAGTTCACTTGTAAAGACGTCCATTTGGTTTTTTAGAAGGGATACATCGATACAAGTATCGGTAAAGGATATATATTTCTATTAAATTTTTCGTCTTTTCAATGCACTGTGTAATTTCAGAGTCAACTCAGAAGACTCTTGAGACATAGCAACAATTGGTCGCCAGCTAGCATGAAAACCAACTTTGTGCTTTTCCCATTACTTATACAAGCTGAGCTACCAATCTTTGCGAGGATATAACGTGAAAAATACAATTAAAGCTGAAAAAGTCTTTTTCTTCTCAAATCTTATATAAACAAGCATTTTCGTCACAAAGGTCTAGATACAAAGACACGCCGATATAATAAATTATATATATATATATATATATATATATATATATATATATATATATATATATATATATATGTATATATATATGTATATATATATATATATATATATATATATATATATATATATATAAATATATATATATATATATATATATATATATATATATATATATATATATATATATATATATATATATATATATATATATATATTGTGGAAGGAATATCCTCTTTAGTAGAATAGTTATTTTCATAGGTCGGTGCAATATCTATTTAGTATTTAATTTGGGTGCTGCTAAGAGAAGAGGGAGATTGGACCTCAAAACTATTGAGATTTAGACGAGAAAATGATTTTGATTTATTTACTGGAAGATGAGAATGAAATGAACATGAATGCAAATGCCTCCCGATCCACGTTACCCAAGGTGCACATAATTAATAAGGAAATGAAATGGATATCGAACAAATGCTGAAGATGTATGCAGCAAGACTATAAGACTGTTGCAAAAGGATTGGGCAACAAGCTCTCACAACAACCCCGCAGAGTTCCTAGAATACGCTGCACAAGAGACAAACACAAAGAATTTTACTATACTATGGCTGGCTGGCGTGCAAGTATTGTTTGATTGTTTGATTATCAATTATAGAGGACTTGAAGGGCCTTAAAGAAATATATATATATATATATATATATATATATATATATATATATATATATATATATATATATATATATATATATATGCATGTGTGTGTGTGAAAATTTATGAACAGTTACTTAAAGCGCTTGGCTTCTTTTACATAAGTTTGAATTATATTAATTTTCATTCAGACAAATCCGACGACCAGTATAATGAATTATTTTTAGTTAATATATAGAGGATTATCTGTCATGATTCATGTACATGTCATATTAACATGCTTTTTTCAAATTGGGCAATTCAGGATGTCCAATTTTCTCTCACAATTTCCATAATAGGACAGCACGTGTGGGATCGTAACCTCGGAATTCGTTTCAATTATCATTAAATTTGATTCTTTTTTATTGACTAGGAGAACAAAACATTATTTCAACTTCAGACTACCTCTTTCTTTGAAAGAATTCCTTCTTATTATTAAAGAAGGGTTCGGTTCGGTTGGTATGCATGAACCTATTGCGTTTTGTAGGGTTTTATATGTTTGAATCACCAACCAATAGAAGCAAGTTATGATGCACTGTAATCATTTGTATGAAAGTACCAAGTCTCAAAATTTGCTCCGGTGTGCCTGTCCAACTGTATGAACACCTATGTACTCCTATGTGAAATTTACGCGTCTGCCTGGCAATTATATCAATATATATGTATTGCTGTGTGCAATTAACGCCGTTCTGCATGTCCGCTATTTGATCATATATGCTATGCGATGTCACCCTAAGTTAAATTACTACTAATGTGAAAAATATCATGCCGTTGATGGTTGATCTGCACACACACAAAGTCAGATACTAATATTTTTCCTCACAGTTTATGAAAGCAGTGCTGAAATTTTGAAATTTTGCGTCGGTTTGCTAATGAAGGCAAGCCAGTTCCCTATTTTATATTTTGATAGATCACTTCTCTTTAGACCATTCACAGCTGTCCCTGCTAATTTGAGAACCTTCTCGACCATATTGCCATCCCAAATTAAGAGACGGCAATTTAAACTAAAGGTCAAATATGAGTGTAATATATTTATAGGTCAAATACATTATGTTTTATATGGTGAATTTGCAACTGAGTGTTTTAAATACTTTGCTATTTTTGAGGTAGATGCAAACAAGTTATTGATTTATGATGACATTCGAACTCCTATATCTAATACCTTCATAACTGCGACAGGACCTATGGTCATTTTGGACGATTTCATTTGTGAATGAAGAATAGGAGCCTGAGGTAAACCTTCCAATTCTATGTCTTCTAACTACTCGACAGCTGAAAGAAACTGCGTGAAGGTCACAAGAATATTTGCAGAGACTCTCAAAGAAATGCAGGAAATGACGAAGTCAGAAGGCAGAGCAAAATAATGTCAGGAGACAATGTATTTGTACCAACAAGCATCTATAGATCCTGCCAAGGAGAGAACCGTATGATGTGGAAGAAAATGTTCCAATGTTTCAGTTTAATATCAACATGAAATTAAAGCAAAATAATAAATAAATAAATAAATAAATAAATTAATAAATTAAAAAATAAATTAATTAATAAATAAATAAACGAATAAATAAATAATATTTAACATGAATTTAGAATCTGTTAATCAGGGTAAGGATAATTAATCATCAGTCTGTGTTTTTTTTCCTGTTGAACACCCGGTCATTAAGATATATGGGTTTATCTTCAAATTTGGTTTGGTTTAAAAACACTAAACCAATATTTATATTCATGTTGTATCTTGAATTTTAATCATCTAAACAAAATGAATAGGTTAAAATGTTATTTACCTTTTTAACTATAAAAAATATCCTAAATTGTGACTGTTGCTACTTATGACTATACATATATGTTTGGTAGCAAATCATTACTTTGATTCGATGGCAAATTTGGTTTATGTTATCTTAATAAAGTCCAGAATCCAGATAAAGGTCACTTATTCAAACTGGTTACTCATTTTTGTATTTTGTTTTGTAATAATTGATATATTGTGCGAGTTGTAGCTTGGAGGGCTATATAACGCTTTGTACACATATACACAAATGTGTTTAGAAGCTCCATGTCTTCTCGCATCTCGAAGCAAGTTAGTTAATTAGATATTGTTAGTGCTTATCACTGTTTAAGATTTTGTATGTGTTCAATAGAGTCGCTAAACATTTCCATCACATAACTCAGTTTGACATTAGAATTTAAAAACCCTAAAACCAAACAAACAAAACAAAAATAAACAAACAAACAAACAAAAACAAACTGTGTTGATTCAAAAACGCGAAATCGAAACTTTTGAAAATTAAAGTTGTACAAATTTCACTTGATAAATATTAATCTATTCCAGTCATTATGTATAAACTAATGTTGAACTGTGTGGCTGTAAATTTGTGATGTTAAACATATGCTGTTCTGAAATTTGGATGACATTTAGTTCTGTAACCCAGTTTCGTAACGTGCGAGAGAACTACGCGAACTCAATACTTCAATTGTATCCGGCGATACGTT